GCCCTTGTGGTTTTTCACCAATAACCCCCCCCCCCCCCCCCCCCCCCTCCTTCGATCCCGCATCACCTAGCTCATCTCCATGACGGGACATATCTGCATGGCGTAGTTGGTCCGTCACATACGACTGCAGTGGTATCCTTGGGGTCGCTGGATAGTCACATCCAACGATGCTGATCAAAAAAGAGAGAATCGGCCAGAGTTATTCCCTGACCGCTCTGCCAAAAGATATTTCGAGCTGCCAGGACAACCTGTCCCAGCCTGGTCATCGGCGATCAATGGAAAGGGCGCTACCGATATGGTATGCATGGGTTATTCAGCTTGAACATGTCGTCGACATTCATCGTGACAAGAGGTGCTCTTGCCCCGGCCTCTTGTGCGTAAGGAAAATGAGGTTACCTCTGGAGACTGAACTTTTCTTCGGCACGTGTTCGTTAACCCCGTTCATATACCACATGGCCTGTTGATCCACCTATTCCGTTGGAACAAGAGCGATTTGGGACGTGGCGAGGCAGACACGGCTGCCCAGATGTCCAAGTAAGCGCAGAGCCGGGCTTCAACACGATGCAGCAGGAGCCGTCTACTTTCACACTGACGCAAAGAAACCGGGGGCTGGAAACGCCAGGAAACCATTGCTTAAAGATAGACCACCTGGGGGTCCAACGTAAAGCAGATTCATTCTACCTGCCTGTATACCGTATGAGGTGACCTGGAAAAGACACCCTTCGTCAAGGAAATGAAACTAAAGATATCATCAACAAGAGCTGGTCCACCTAGGACTCTTTCCCGTTCTTTTCGTTTTTAGTCCTTCATCATAATAGACGCAAACTCATCATCTGTTTTTTGAAGGTCAGCTTGCTTGCCAAATAACGAGGTATCGTGCGTGCCAACAGGCCCAAACACAACAAAGGGGGCAGGCAATGTCGATGCGGTGGGTGCTCCTTACAGTCAATCGTTCCATCGCCGTTCTTGTCGGCCATCTGGATCATCTCGTCAATCTCGGCGTTGGTCATGTTCTCGCCCAGCGATTTCAGGACATGTCGCAGCTCCTCGGCCGAGATGGTGCCGCTGCCGTCGCGGTCGAACACCTTGAAGGCGTTCTTTAGCTCCTCCTCAGCGTCGCCGACCTGCACCTTTACCGCCATCAAGTTGAGGAATTCTACACACGTCGAGTTAGTGCTCCGCTTTCGAGACGCTTCATATCCACGCAGCCGCAACGACGTACCATTGAAGTCGATCGTGCCGTTGTTGTCTGCGTCGACCTCGTTCACCATGTCCGTCAACTCCGTGTCGCTGGGGTTCAGACCCAGGGACCTCATGACCTCTCCCAGCTCCTGGGCGGTGATGTCACCTGCAGAAACAATGTCAGTTTGGGGTTGGGATGAGAAAGCAAAAAGGGAACTGCAGCAAATCCGAGATGAGATGGAACGGTCTAAGCCACGCCGTTCCCGAGCGGATTTAAGAAAAAAAAAGGGTTCGATCGAGTTTAAAAAATAATTTCCGACTGTCGTCCAGAAAAAGGGGGCGCAGCAAGTTCGCGGCTCGAAAAAGGGTGTTGTTACTGACCGGTCCCATCCTTGTCCTGTGGTCGAGTTAGCAAAATGAGGAACTCCGGTGTCGTCGAAGGTTGACGTAGGCCAGCCCAAAAAAATCAGGCTCGGCATGGCGCCAGCCTGATGGAAAGGGGAAGCGGGAGGGAGAAACTCACAAACAGGTCAAAGACCTCCTTGTATTGCGCCCTTTGCTCTTCAGTCAACCCAGCAGCAGCCTGGACATCGTGGTCAGCTTCATAAATCGGAGCATCTCGGGCAGCCGGAGCATAAGTTTCTCACCATTTTTTTATGTTGGATATGTGGTGGTGACGAGTTGTTTGTGAAGGAAGTTTTGGTGAGTGAGCGTCGGTGGTTTGAGACAGGGAAGACGGCGTGGGCGTGGGCACCGACAGCTGAAAGCGGGGATGTGACGATGACCCCGCACGGTGCTTAGTGCGAACAGCTTCATCAATTCGTACGGCTGGGGGGAAGGCATTTGGACGGAGGGCTGCATTTTAATTTGTCCCAGGTTGCATCAGCGTTTCCTTGTTTAGACGGCCCAACGGTCGGCGGTAATCAAGTCAGCCTCATCACAATTCCCGCGGGCACCGGGGGTGATTGACGAATGGGCGTTATTCGCAAAGGCAGTGAGGCAAACTCCAACTGCCGGCCCAGCTGACATAATCCAGGCCTAGACCTCACTCAAAAAGAACGCGACGTAACGTGGGCAGTTATCGCCGAAGCGTTAGAATGAGTCTTTCGGCCAGTATCAAAAACACCTGGAATCACCACCAGATGTGCAAAAAGGGGCCCAACCGGGGTTTGAACCCGGGACCTCGCCCAATCAAGCTATGCTTGAGAGTATTACTACCCGAAGGGCGAATCCTACCACTAGACCATTGGGCCTTGTTGAGTTGAAGAGAAGCACAAGTGCCTGTTGTAGGGTCGGTTTGGCTCCAGGCAGGCGCGAGGTGAGGAAGTTGCGACGCAAAGGGAAGGAAAGCACGCCGTGTTAGAAAGAGAACAAGAAGTATCGATTGGCCAGTTAGCATTTAATGCCTTCTCACCGCAAACACCTTGCACATGGACACCGCAGGGGTGGGATTTGAGGAACCAACAACAACACCATGCCGTTGGATCTGAGTAACCCGAGCCGAGCACCGCCGGATCCAGCTTCCGATTCCGAACATTCACACCCGACACCAAGATGCTGCCGCCAAGCTTCAAAAGCGCGGAATCCCAAGCGGACAGTTTACCGCAGAGCGACACGATACACCTTACCCACCGCCCCGTCCTGCACATCGAACCCTACATCCGTACAACCTCCAAGTGCGAATAGGCCAAGCGGCCGGGCCCTGAACCAAATGGAAAGCCGACACATTCTACGGCCCCCACCACCGGCATTGGGATCTCCAAAAAGTTCAGTCCCGGCCCCACGCCCGAAAGCCAGGGGACGCCAAGTTCCAACCCGGCCCGCCCGCAGTCGTGCTGCAAAAACTTACGATAGAAGAACGGTGTTCCCCGCGATAACGAGTAAGGCAAGCCGATAAACCACGACACCGCAAATTTCGACTCCGATATTGCGCCGGTCCGGGGTGATCCCCTTCAACGTGCTCCTCCCCCAACCACCGCCTCCCCTTTCCCCGTCTCTCCTCCTCTCCCACCGTGCCCTTTTAAAGTTACGCAGCAAATCTCTCCCTTTTCCAATTCGTCTGGTGTTGCCAGTTTGACATTTTCGCAGAATCTTCCAATCGCGAACCGTGATCTGCCTCCCACCTTGCGGTACCGTCCTGAGTCGCACAATCGCAACCTGTACTGAGGTACCTCGCGTCGCACGAACACACAGACACGCGACAATGGCAGACCCCGCCGAACCCCCCTCTTCGATTCTCATCATCGGCTCCGGCGTCTTCGGCCTGACGACAGCCCACGAACTCGCCCTCCGCCCCCGCTACGCCTCCACCAAGATCACCGTTCTCGACCGCTCCCCCGTCCCCGGTCCAAGTGAAGACGCCGCCAGCGTTGACTCTTCTCGCATCATTCGCTCAGACTACGCCGATCCAGCCTACGCTCGCCTCGCCGCCGAAGCCCAGACGGAATGGCGCAAGACCACAAACCCTTCAGACCTTGGAGGTGAAGGCCGGTATCGGCAATCCGGCTTGTGTCTCGTCGCCGACCCCAAGTCTGCTTCCCCCGCAGCTTCAACGACATCGTCACCACCAAAAAAGACCAGTCTGGAATACGTTCGCGAAAGCTATAACAACGTCGTTTCGCTCGCAGGGCCCGATGGCGATAAGATCATCAAGGAGCTTCCCACCCCGGAGGCAATTCGCGACCACCTTGGTACCCCGATCGCCCCTGGAACATGGGGCTACATCAACCCTTTGGCTGGTTGGGCTGACGCTGGCGAGTCAATGAAGTACCTCGCCCGTCGCGTCGAGGCCCTTCGCCGCGTAAACTTCGTCTCTGGCACCGCTGCCCGCTTAAACTACTCTTCCGCCTCCACCGTCACCGGCGCAACGCTTACCGATGGCCGTGTCCTTTCCGCCGACCTCGTCATTGTCGCCGCCGGTGCTTGGACGGGCCAGCTTGTCGATCTCTCAGGCCAGGCCATCGCGACCGGCCAAGTGCTCGGATACATTGACATCACCCCCTCCGAGCTCGAGATCCTCTCCAAGATGCCTGTGACTCTCAACTTCAGCACAGGACTCTTCATGATCCCTCCGTCAGGACTGCAGGTCAAGGTCGCCCGCCACGCGTACGGCTACCTCAACCCGACACCGATCCCTCACCCGTCTCCCTCGTCCTCCGCGAAGAAGAGCACCGTCTCCCTGCCCGCGACGCACATCACCGACCCCAACCTCCAGGTCCCGAAAGAGGGAGAGGATGCGCTGCGCACCGCCGTTCGCACCATCGTCCCGATCCCCGCGATCCATGACCGCCCATTCGTGAAGACGCGGCTGTGTTGGTACACCGATACCCAGACGGGCGACTTCTTGATCTGCCACCACCCCGAGGCGAAGAACCTGTTTGTCGCCACGGGCGGCAGCGGTCACGGCTTCAAGTTCCTGCCTGTGTTGGGCAGGGAGATTGTGAACGTGCTGGAGGGCAGAGGCGACAAGGTGTTCACTGAGAAGTGGAAGTGGAGGGCAATCAACAAGCCCGAAGACGTGACGAATCTGTATGACAATATTTCATGCGACGACGGCAGCCGTGGAGGCGTGCCTGGCATTTTGCTCAAGGGCGAACAGCCCAAGTTGTAGCGCTTTATGCTATCCGGCCGTGTTCATCAGTAATAATGAATGTCGATGTGGAACCGTAGACACGTAGAGCAGGTATTGTACATGTACAAAAGTTTTTTGTTTTTCGACCGAATGTGGGGCCAAGGCAAGCTGGCAAAATTTTTACAAATCACTCGAGCTGTCACAGCGGAGGGAATGGGTTCATGAAATCAGGTTTGGCATTGCACTCATACTAATGCCTGCTAAGCTCGCGTCAAACCCTAAACTTAAGCCAGAGTAAGAATTGAGTGATCAACCTGGCCACCCTGACCAGGTGATGTCGCAAACCTGTTTTCGCAGTTCATCACTCGCCAAAGCCCCTCCCGACCAACTGTCCAAGAGGCGACGAACGCATCCTTCCCCCTTCCCACCGTCTCGGACCCTTGTGCATCTAAGTTGCTTCCATTAAAAAACGGCGAAGTCGACATGCGCGTTGCCGTCGACCATGCCACGAGCAATCTATGTAGTGTCGCGGGATGAGAAAAATCTTATTCTTTTCGTCTGAATCAAACCACCCAGACTGGATGCCTCCAGTCCAGGATCCCTCCTGTGCCAACGCCAATGCAATGCAGCGGAAAATCAAGGGATAACGCAAACGAGCATCGAGGCGTCTTGGGCATGGCCAAGATGCCAGCTGACGGACGCTCGCTTTTTTTTATGGTGTGCGTGAAAAAGCAGTCGTGGTATCGTGAAAGGGTGGTGTCTAATCGTACAAGTCGGCGATATTTTTGGGCGGTGATACATCAACAGCGTTGATGGCTCATCCTTTGCTTCGGTTTCTTTAGACCTTCCGGAAATCTGGGACGAGTTAGCAATTGTAAGAGACGAGGGAAGCAGAAACACTGACCCTGAAGCACAGGATAAATCATCTCGAACGCCTGGTAGATCTCCTCACGGACCTTGGCACCAGTGAGGACGATCTTGCCAGAGACGAAAATGAGGAGCACAATCTTCGGTTTAATCATGCGGTAGATGAGACCAGGGAACAACTCGGGTTCGTAAGAACTGAAGTTGTGATGGCGGGAGGCAAGACCTTCGAGACGGATGGGGAACTTGATGTCGCAAGACCCGACAATATTCTGGATCTTGAAGTCGGTGAATTTGGCGTTGAAGCCAAGCTTCTGGATGATACGAGCGTACTTGCGGGAGGCAAGCTTCGAGTCATCCTCAGACTTGGCACCAGTTACGACCATCTTACCAGAGGCGAAGATGAGGGCTGTGGTCTTCGGCTCGCGGATACGCATGATAACGGCGGCGAAACGCTTTGTTGGAAGTCAGCATCAGGAAACAACTGGTAGTCAGTCGCAACGTACCTTGGGGTTGTACTCGGCGTTTCTCGCGTGCAGGGCAATCGTCTTCAGGTCCAAGCGGCAATCGAGGTTGACCGTGGCAACGATGTTCCTTTAAGCAGCGACATAAGCGTCATGGAGCAGAAAAAAATCACTCATGATATACATACTGCAGCGTGGGAGTCAAACCACTTCCACCCTGGGTGGCAGCAGGAGTCGCAGCAGGGGTCGCGGGAGTCACCCCGGTACCGTTTGCGCCTTGTTGACCGTTGACGGCGGGGACCTGACCGTTGACGGGAGCCTGGGCGCCGTTCGCCGGGGGAGGAAGCTCGTGAGCGCCGCCGGGGAAGGACAGCGAACCAGGCGCAGTGAAGGCCTTGGCTTGCGCGGCACTCGTGGGATGGGTTTGAATCGCCTCCATGATTGCGGTTGCTTGAGGGATAGGCCGAAGATGGGGCAAAGAGCAGATCTGCGAAAGTCAGTACGTTGATCTAACCATTGTAGCAAGCACGCGCCATTACAGTTGGATGCTGTAATTACTTGCCGCGGCCAAGAAAAGTAACAATGGAGAATGAAATGCGACTGCGATATGAATGGTGATGTTTTGAGGAGATCGCGTAGGTGGCTGGAATATTTATCGGTGTATGGAAGATGGTCTATGCGCGAGACTTCTGCACCCCGATAACCTCCAGAGTCGGGAAGGTGCGAGCCAAGTAGAGGAAGGCAGTCGTGCAGGCAGGTGCGCTGGGGAAAACAACGACTGAAGGAGATGGAACACCATACCAGAAGTGGGAGAAAAACAAGTGAATGTCTCCCCTACAGCGACTGCTCAAGACAGATAGATAGGTAGGTAGGTAGCGCTTGTCTCGACGACTTGGCGGTCAGGCAAATGGCGCGATATGGGATCTCAAGGTTGAGGTAGGTCGACGAGAAGGTCGTTGGTTTCGTAGGCGTCGCTTTGGATTTGTCGCGAAAGACCCAGATACCACCAATCAACTCGACGTCTCGGGATACCTCGTCACGGTTCAAAGCACTTGTGTCTATATTCGTCGACGATGCGATGCGCACGGATTGTGTCTACAGGGCGCAGCGACTCGTTCTCGACCTGGCTGTCGTCGAAAGGGATCGCGCGAGTAACGTAACGAAGGGATGCCTCGAAAAGAACGTATTCCAGGTCTTTTCTTTCTTTCGTGCAGGGTAGGATATGCGGGTACACTTTCAGCTAAGAGAGCGATACCACCTGGGCCCTGGCTGACGTTGACAGCTCCGTCGTTAGTCTTGGAGTGTTTGGTAGTGAGGTAGAGAGAGTATAGAGATCAGCCTCGTTGGGGGTCGA